GGCAGCCTGCGGGAGTGAGCGTGAGGGCCTGTTCCCAGGAGTCCCAGATCATCCGGATATTCGGCACCATGATCAATCAGAAGCTTCAGGACTTCGAGGAAGAGGTGAAGCCCATCGGCAACGTGGTGACCGAGGCCACGCTGGACATGTACAACACGGTGGTACAGCGCTTCCTGCCCACGCCCGCCAAGATCCACTACCTCTTCAACCTGCGGGACATCTCCAAGGTGAAGCTCCCTGGCCAGGATCGGCTTTCTCGGCTTTCCTCTCAATGCTTGGGACGGGGTCTCTTCCCTCCCGCCATCCCACCGCCCCGCCTCTTCCCCAGGTTTTCCAGGGCATGCTTCGGGCCAACAAGGACTTTCACGACACCAAGTCCAGCATCACACGGCTCTGGATCCATGAGTGTTTCAGGTGCGACGCCCGTGCCAACACCGGCCCAGGGGGCCCCTCCTCCTCCGTATGCCCCGCCCCCCCAGGGGGCCCCTCCTCCTCTGTATGCCCCGCCCCACCCCCCCACCCCCCCAGGGCCCCCCCTCCTCCGTATGCCCCGCCCCCACCCCCCAGGGGACCCCCTCCTCCGTATGTATGCCCCAGCCTCACCCCACTCCCTCCCGACAGAGTCTTCTCTGACCGGCTGGTGGATGCTGCAGACCTGGAGGCCTTCGTGGGCATCATCAGCGACAAACTTGGCTCCTTCTTTGACCTCACGTTGCATAATCTTTGTCCCAACAAACGTCCTCCCGTCTTTGGTGAGCTGGCGCCCCCGCCGCGGGCTGCGGGTGTTGGGAGGCCCCCCCGGGGGGAGGGCTGGGGCATGGGGTCCCTGGGGGAGCCTGGCCACGACCGGGCCGTGGAGATCTGAGCCCGCTTCCCGCGGCCCAGGGGACTTCATGCGGGAGCCCAAGGTGTACGAGGACCTGACAGACCTGGCTGCGCTGAAGGCGGCCATGGAGACGGCCCTCAGGGAGTACAACCTGTCCCCCGCCGTCGTCCCCATGCAGCTGGTACTCTTCCGGGAGGCTATCGAACACAGTGAGCACTTCCTCCGCCCGGCCCGGCCGCGCCCCAGCTCCCGGCGTGGGCTCTTCCCCGAGCGAGTCCGGAAGCTGCTTTCCTTTCTGGCCCCAGGTGGCCAGTGGCGATGGTGGGGCTCTTCCTCGACGACGAGGATGTGGTGTCGGGCAGACAGGGCTGCGCTCGCGGTGGACTCGCTGCCTCGGCCTCAGGCACCGGCCGCTCCCCCCCCCCCCCCCGCTTCGCGGTCCCTGTACTTCAGTTTCGGGCACCCCGGTCTCTAGGCCTCTCGCGTAGGGCCCGGTGGTCCCCCGGGGCGTCCCAGAGGCCTCACCACCCTCGTCTCCCGCCCCCCAGTCACACGGATCGTGCGGGTCATCGGGCAGCCTCGGGGCAACATGCTGTTGGTGGGCATTGGGGGCAGCGGGCGCCAGAGTCTGGCCCGCTTGGCCTCTTGCATCTGTGAGTACGCCACCTTCCAGATCGAGGTCAGCAAACATTACCGAAAGCAGGAGTTCCGAGAAGGTAGGCGTGAAAGATCCCCTGGTGACCGGGGAGCGGAGAGGTGGAAGCCGGTAGCCAGCCGTGCCAGGCGCGGGGGCGGGGGGGGGGGGGGG